TGAGGAAAACTGACTATTCAAATGAGCAAATCTAGATGCGAGCAAGGTCACGGAATGGATTAAGCTCCTGAGTGGAGGCTCCACTGTAATGGTAACAAGATGCACTTGAAATCTTGCATGTTTATGAGACAGAAAAAAGACACCAGCAATCCTACCATCACGTAAAACAATTACAAGCTTTCATTTTACACTCACTTGGCAGGATGGTAGTACCTCCGTGGGTGGCTGCTGTCTACCAACCTACTACCTACCATAGTAATTTTATAGTATCATAAATTAGCATCCTGAAAGGAAGCTTTAATATTTACAGAGTGCTGAAACAAGACACATGGGCAAGTTTTCTAACATCTGCAACCCCTGTTAACCCCTTCGCTGTCTGTGCCGTAGTACTATGGATTTGAGGTCAGTGTCTGTGCCATAATACTATGCCATGAGCTCAGCTCACTCAGATAAGCTGTGAGAAGTAAATTTGGGCCTAGATACAAGAGAATGGGTCTATGCAGTAAGTGTGCACCATATAAAAATCCTGCAGCAGGCAGTGCATGAAAAAAAAACTACCACTACCACCTCCTGCCTATATATACTCCCTCTTTCTCTCCTTTTCGTTAGTGTGACTTTGTAAATGGTCCAAGTCGGACCAAAATGTTGTAAGATCCTCTCTTCCATGTGCGGGTCAGTTGTGTATTGTTCCAGTCAGAGTATTGTGCCTTTTTTGTTATTTATGGACCCCGCAGGTAAGCATCTTATTCTTTCCAACTTTTTCAATGTTCTTCATTCTTTTAAACCCCTCTTTCGTTCTTATGAGGCTGCTCTTATTGCTACCAGACGTCGTAAGAATCAGCTTCGCTTCCTACGTGACTGTCTTGCTGAACAAGTTTCGCCCCCTTCCTTCTCCCATTTCCTGAAACCCAACCCTCTGGGTACTCCCTTTCCTGATCGTGCCTGTCTCCTACTTCAACAGCTCATTCTTTCTACTAAGTCTCAGGTTGAAGATGCCTTCTTTACCTCCATCATTGTCAATGTGCTATGTTGCATCTCTTCCACAAGATCTCTGTAACCTTCTCTCTATCATTGCTTTTGACACTGCTCGCCTGAATTCACAAATTCATTCTTCTAAACTACAGAACAAACTTCAACGTCTTATCTCAGATAGCCTTGGTCTAAATTCTCTCTTACCGACTGTTACTAACCTGTCTTCTGTCTCACTCTCTCAATATGAGCTTGAACTTCTTGGTTTTGGTCTTTCCTTTGCCACTTCACCTACCCCTCACGCTGGTACTGCCCTGATTAGCTCTTTTGATTCTTTTCGTCAGTCTTGCTCCCGTAATCTTCCTGACTTGTCCACTTTTTGTGGCGCTCTCCTTCCTGCTCCTGATAGTCTGTTTTCTAAGAACCACCATCTTCCTTGCTGTTACCAACTTGCTCTTTCTTCTCTTAAATCTAACACTAACATTGTCATACTATCTTCTGACAAAGGTAATTCGGTACTTATCTTTGATCATGAAGATTACCTCTGTAAAGCTGATGTCTTGCTCTCTGCCTCACGTACCTACACTTCTCTCATTTCCAACCCTCTTGATCGCATCAAGAGAACTTTCAATAAGAAACCAAGGACTCTCTTCGACTTCTGTCCTCCTGACTTTGACCTTGTTCAATGTTTTCATGTCATTTGCCCCTCTCTGCCCTATCTCTATGGCCTTCGCAAAACTCATAAACCTGATATTCCCCTATGTCCTATCATATCCTCTAGAAGTTGTCTCTTATTCTCTTGCTTCTTAGTTGGCCAAAACCCTCACTCCCATTCTTGGTACTTTTTCTCCTGCCAACCTGTCACTCTCAAGACTTCATTGAATGGGCTTGCTCTCTCCCGACCTGTAAGATGCTTACTCTTGACGTTGAGTCCCTCTTCACCAATGTCCCTCTTGATGATGTCCTTGATTTTCTTATAGAAAAGGTCAATGAAGGGTTTCTTCATCCCCCTATACCTACTGATGTTTTTCTTGATCTTATCTGCCTTTGTGTGGACTCTAATTCCTTTTCCTTCCAGGGGAAATATTATTCCGAAACCTTCAGTGTTGCTATGGGCTCTTCTCTTTCTCCTGTCCTTGCTAATCTTGACATAGAATACTTCGAGACTGTTCTTCCTACTATCGATGTGCGCCCCTCACTCTGGCTCCATTATGTAGATGACATCTTTGCGTTGTTGCCTCATGACTCTAGTCTCTTCCAACCATTTCTTGATGCTCTTAATAACCTTGCCCCTTCCATTAAGTTTAAAGCTCAATGGGAACCTAATTCCTTGCTTCCTTTCCTTGATGTCCATGTCCACCATTCAGATACAGGTTTTGCCTTTTCCGTTTACCACAAGCCTATGCACAGTGGCATGTACATTCACTACTTTTCTTATCATGCTTCCTCTGTCAAGAAAAGTGTCCTTATCTCCCTCTTTCTCCGTGCTCTCCGCATTTGTGATCCTCAGTTCCTTCGATCAGAAATTTCCACTCTTCATAATTCATTTTCCCGTCTTGGCTACCCTTCCCATTTCATAGACTTTGCCTTCTCACATACTAAATGTAATTTCTTCTCTCCCAAACTCTCTACTCCTGGGAACTCTTCTGTCCTCTGCCTTCCCTACATTTCCAGTCTTTCTAATCTCAACAACTCTCTGTTCCTTAGACATCAAACTTACTGTCCGCCAGACTAACACTCTTCACACTAATCTCATTCATACCTCTCCTCCCTCTATAGATGCTCCTGGTGTCTACTCTATTTCTTGCTCCTCCTGTCCTCTTCAGTACTTTGGAGAAACTTACCGATCTCTTTCTGACAGACTTAGGGAGCACAAAAGTAGTGTTAGGCATGCCGACACTAACAATGCTCTTTTCTGTCATGTCAGAGATCATAGTCATCATATCGACTGGTCTTCTGCTAAAACTGTCTTCCCTACTTCCAACTTTAACAGTCGCCATCTGGTTGAATCCTCCCTAATACACAACTTTCCTTGTATGAATCTTAGTCCTGGCTTCGTCTCTGTAGATGCCTTCCTTTCCCACTACATTGTAAAATGCTCCAAACTTCAGAACACCTGTGACTTAACCTGATTCCTTTTTCCCTCTTCCCCTTTCCCTTCCTTTTTTTTATTTGGGTTGTCTTTCTTCTGCCTTGGGTATTTGTTCCTTCGTTTTTTATCCCCCCCCCATGTTCTTGCTCTTACCCTCTGTGGGCAACCTAGCTTCCTTGCAGTGCTCCTCTTTCTCAGTAATTGACTAGCTCCTCTTCCTCCATACTACCTTCCCACTACTACCTTCTACCTCCACTACTACCACTACCACCTCCTGCCTATATATATTCCCTTCTTCTCTCCTTTTCGTTAGTGTGACTTTGTAAATGGTTCAAGTTGAACTGAAATGTCGTCGTAAGCTCCCCTCTTCTATGTGTGGGTTATTTGTGTATTGAAGGACTATCTTGTCCTGCTTTCAAAGAAACTCTCCTGCCTCTCTCAATATGCCAACAAGAGTCTTCAATAAAGGTAAAACTGATTTAAATGTTCATTTATCCATTAAAATTAGTGCTTTATATTTATTTCTCATTGGTTTCTGTACATAAAACTATAGTATTTATTCTTTAAAAAATGATTTTTTGTGAATATTTTTGGGTGGAACAGATAACAGTAATTGGATTTACATTATTTCTTATGGGAATTTAGGCTGTTGCGACTTTAGGCCTAGCTCCTGGAACGGATTATGGCCGAAACTCGGGGTTCCACTGTATATTATATTATTATTATCAGGGGTCTGGACAATGAGAGGGTTAACCAAGCAGAACATTGTGGGGTCATATCCTAGATAAGGACCTAAAACCCCACAATGAAAAGAGGCCATACTGCTTGGTTTTCTTTCAGTGTTTATAACTGGACTAAAATCATTATCTACAACTAAAGCATGTACCCTTTCATCTTTTTCTTGTTCATCATTTTCATCTTGTCCTCAGCCCTCTCCAATAATGTGAATATCCAAAGGCATGTTAAATGTCTGAGAAGGATTTACATGTGATTACATATCTTCTCAGTGAGAGAGAAAGAGCTTCCAAAGGAAACACAGCATTAAAGATACATGTGTAGACAGGCAGAAGCAACAGGTATGACTGAAACTGGTCCAATAATTAAGATGCCACATAATAAGTTAATAATTATGAACAATGCATGTATAATAATACAGCATGAATACATCTCATGCTGAAGGATAAGTAAAACGACACAAACGCAACTAATGTGGCATTTTATTGTGGCAACATTTCACTCTCCAGGAGCTTTGTCAAGCTGTTACAAACAGTACGTACATGGACATGGAGGGTATATATAGGCTTAGAGTGAGGTGCAATAATAGTGGTAGCAGTAGTAGTAGTGATATAAGTTGTAGTAGTAGTAGTAGTAGTGATATAAGTTGTAGTAGTAGTAGTAGTAGTAATACAATATAGTAGAACAATTAACTTGCACATGAGAAAAAGGATATAAAAACTATTACTTGGATAATAGCTTTTATATCCTTTTACTCATATGCAAGTTAATTGTTCTATTGTAGTAGTAATACAATATGGCAGAACAATTAACTTGCACATGAGTAAAAGAATATAAAAGCTATTATCCAAGTAATAGTTTTTATATCCTGTTACTCATGTGCAAGTTAATTGTTCTACCATATTGTATTACTACTACTACTACTACTACTACTACCACTAGTATTGCACCTCACTCTGAGCCTATAAGTACCCACTCTGTCCATGTACTGTTTGTAAAGGCTTGACAAAGCTCCTGGAGAGCGAAATGTTGCCACAATAAAATGTCACATTAGTTGCACTTGTGTCCTTTTTACTTTACATATTGCTAGTAATTCTACCACCATATATACTGAAGGATTAGGAAAAAGAGAGTATTATAATAATAATTTTGGATTTTAAAAAGGTACTTGCTCGGTAACAAATGACTGATTTTCTCTTCTAACCTGAAGTGGCATTGGTGCTGATGATACCATGTCTGCTAGCACTCCCCGAGCAGGAACATACAGAGGTAACTCACGACACACTACTTGTGTCTCCAGTAGCACACATTCATCTGCAGAAATAAAAGGGAGAATGAGGACTTAAGTGAAATGCATCAACAGTAAGAGATATAACAACAATGTACTTACATATAATTCCTTGATGCACAGTCAATTTTACCTAAGTATCCAGGGTATGCATGCATTAAACATAAACAATAAATACAGTAGTGGATGTACAAGGTAAGCATGAACAAGCAGTACAGTAGTGGATGTACATGATAAGCATGAACAAGCAGTACAGTAGTGGATGTACAAGGTAAGCATGAACAAACAGTACAGTAGTGGATGTACATGGTAACCATGAACAAGCAGTACAGTAGTGGATGTACATGGTAAGCATGAACAAGCAGTACAGTAGTGGATGTACAAGGTAAGCATGAACAAGCAGTACAGTAGTGGATGTACAAGGTAAGCATGAACAAGCAGTACAGTAGTGGATGTACAAGGTAAGCATGAACAAGCAGTACAGTAGTGGATGTACAAGGTAAGCATGAACAAGCAGTACAGTAGTGGATGTACATGGTAACCATGAACAAGCAGTACAGTAGTGGATGTACATGGTAAGCATGAACAAGCAGTACAGTAGTGGATGTACATGGTAACCATGAACAAGCAGTACAGTAGTGGATGTACATGGTAACCATGAACAAGCAGTACAGTAGTGGATGTACATGGTAAGCATGAACAAGCAGTACAGTAGTGGATGTACATGGTAAGCATGAACAAGCAGTACAGTAGTGGATGTACATGGTAAGCATGAACAAGCAGTACAGTAGTGGATGTACATGGTAAGCATGAACAAGCAGTACAGTAGTGGATGTACATGGTAAGCATGAACAAGCAGTACAGTAGTGGATGTACATGGTAACCATGAACAAGCAGTACAGTAGTGGATGTACATGGTAAGCATGAACAAGCAGTACAGTAGTGGATGTACATGGTAAGCATGAACAAGCAGTACAGTAGTGGATGTACATGGTAAGCATGAACAAGCAGTACAGTAGTGGATGTACATGGTAAACATGAACAAGCAATATAGTGGTGGATACATTTGTTAGTATAGTAGTGGAAATAAGTGTTATATATGAACTGGCAGTAAGGTTAAAGGACTAATAGAAGAAATATCAGCACCTCATAATTTTCCAAATTACTTCTTTGAAAATTTACTTCGGGACAACCAATATACAGTACCGTACAATACCAGCATTTACTGTATCCTTATTGAATATATTTTGCTCTACTGTATCAATACTGTCTGCTACTGAATTTTAAAATATAGTACAAAACATAAGTAATGTAAATGCTTACATTTGGGAGATTTATATTGAGCTTCAATGAGTGTCCATCCTATTCAGCTTCGGGGGTTTGCAATGTCTCTTTGTGTGTATATATATACAGAATACAATTTTTATAATGAATTCATGCTGCATTCTTTAACAAGCTTCATCAAAATATTTAAGGAAGTGTGGATAGCCTCACTGATGAACAAAACTGCTCTATATAAAAATTTGCTCCTTTCATAATAACAGGCTTATTTTAAAACTTAACTGAAATACTGTATATTTGAAACAATTTATAACTAAAGCTAACATTAATATCTTGGCATCCTTTCTCCCTAGTTTTCTGCATCCTGAATCTCTGCTCCATGTTCAACCTTGATACTTTCTTCAGTCGATGCAATATCTGGGTTCACAAAGAGAAAAACCATGTTACTCTCTGGTCTCACTACATCGGCCGACTTTGGAGTAGGCATACTACACTCATAGCAACCACTTGCTCGAGAAGTGTCTATAGTTGGACGTGCTTTCTGCCGCATGGGAGCAACTTCCTCAAGCTCGTCTATTTCTTCAAGACTTTCTGATGATTTACTTTTCATAACATCTGCTTTATCAGCATTCATGGGAGTTGCCTGCTGTTGCTTCTCTATCTTCTGTTCTATATTTGTAGGTTCAACAACCACATTATCAACAGAGCCTTTGGGTAATGTATTTACTTTATCATCATTTTCTTGAGCTTCCTCATATTCATCTTTGTCTTTATAGTCATGAGACATTTTTTCTTTTTCTTCCACGTCGTCGCTTGTGCTGTGATCGTCACTATCTTCATCCTCTTGACTTTCATTATCACTGTCTTTAATATTCTGACTGACATCCTTGCTTTCTTCAGCATGGACTTCACATTCTGCTTCATTTTTCTTTAATTCCTCTGAGTCTAGGGAATCAATGAAGTCATTCAAAAATTCACCAGATTGTGTTAGTTTTTTCCTCTCACTAAGTGATGCATTGGACTTCTGAATACTCTCCTTTGATTTGCCAAGACTGTCTTTCTCAGCTTTTTCATCACATATAACCTTTTCAATACTTTCACTGGAATTTTGTGATTTATCTGTTAGAGTGCTACTACGCTTTTTTCCATTACCTTCAACAATTTGTACGAAAGGCTCACCAGTAGCTGGCTTTTCAGACCGTGGACTTTCACAAATATCCAAAGTAAGAACTTGAGGCTTTCTTTTCTTGTCTCTAAAGCATGGTAAAATAAGTGAACATAGCAATACCCAAAGCAATGAAACAAAGAGCCAATAATAGTGATACCATCCACCATTATGTGCTTGCTGTAGGGTATAGCTCCCAGGCACCATTACAGGTAGCAAAATAAAAAGGTACAATGCAAAAAATGAAGCAACAAATATTGGGTAGATCACAGTGAGAAGCAACACTACCAGAAGACGAAAGTCATCCTGGCTCCATTTCTTAGTGTTTATTAGTGGCTTGGCCATTATAACTCACTTATGTTGAACTTGAATCCCTGGGAACCAATTAAACTTAAATCAACACTCAGATGCAATCTTCCTACGTGGGTTGTATTACATCAAGATGCTCACTACACAAAAATATTAATTCTTTTTGCCGTTACTGCAACAGTGAACCAATATCTAGACCTGAATATATAGTCACTAATGTCCAACCCCAGAACTTGAAATCCACACAGTGAAAAAGAGTATGCTTTACTCTGGATGACAAGCAACAGCTTTGAGTGAAGCATATTACTGGTGGTACATCCTGTCTAGAATGTAAGATAGTAGTGGACCACTGAGTATGTACAGGATGTTACTGTGATAAGCTGTGTCCACTTCTACAACATGAGATCACAAACATTCAGTTTAAAACTTGTTGAATAATTATGCTTCAGTTTTAAAAGAATAAGAATATAGTAGAATATTGTATCTGTATATTATTTTCAGAATACAAATAAAGTTTAAAAAATAGAAATTCAATAATCAAATCATGAATCAACAGTCTAAAAGCATCTGTATATTATAAAATAAATTATGCACTGTATTTAATATTAATCGAAAAGTTTATGCAGTACCCAATTAGGGTAATAGTCTTAGGTTATACTCATTACAAGGAAAATAAAAGTTTATATTAATTCATAATCTTCTAAAGATTTTTTGATAAACTAAATGAGGCCATTGATACTTTATAAGTTATGCTAATTTAGCTTATTATCAACAGAGAAAAAATATAGGTTCATATATAATTCTTAATCATCTGAAGAATATCTTCATCAACACCAGAATCCCTAAGTATGTTGGTAATATCTGAAAATTTCTGACTAATGTAAGCCTGTTGTTCAGAGGATGACATATGTGGCAATGCTTGCCCAACTGAATTAGTATTTCCCACTGACAACTTTTCTGAAGTACTGCTTTTGACAGATGAAGTGGAATCATTTCTCTCAAGTTTATTGTGAGATTTCCACCCAGCATTGCGATACTGGGAACCTTTTCTATTGAATTTGCTCTGAATGTATGACTCTGGAAGTTCTCCCTTTTCCGAGTCATCAGCAGCATCTTCTGACAAATTCTCTTGCTTTGTACTACTGCATCTTCTGTTAGCGTCTTGTGAGGCTCTTTTCAAGTTTTCTATAGAGGGTCTTCTGAGGCTCTCCACTGAGGTCCTCTTGGAACTTTCTGATGATATCTGAGATGATTCAGCCATTTTAAAAAGAAAACTTGTATGGGTATAAGGCTCATAAACCAGATGAATGAGTCTTATAATAGGAGTTTCCTTTTAAAAAATGTTAGTGATATTGTTTGTCTTTTTCTTCTGCTTTCAAATTTCTTTCTCTATCCTCATCCTCTTCTTCCTCAATACTTTCCCAGTGCTGTTTTGTTTCTTCTAGATTACAAGATTCAAGACTAGTAGTTGAATCCACTCTTACTAGAGTCAGATACTTATCGAAGGCTTTAAAAGGAGGAAGACCTTGAAATGAGTCTTGTTTTGATAACTGTCTTTCTAATGGGCTTTTCTTATTACTTATTTCAGTTTCTAAGTCAAGAGATGACACTGGAGTTGGGTGAGAGTCCTCAGATGATTCTTTTATTTGTTTATCATGTGTGTATTCAGTAGCTTGATCACTGGAGCTTTGAGAATTTGTACCTAGAGGATCAATCTCAATGAAAGAAGGCAAATAATCTTCCCCACCATTATCCTCGTTAAGCGCTAGACCAAGATTGTCAACATGATAGCCGTCCTCATCGACAGCGCTTAAGAGGTGAGAGCGGCTTAGAGAACCATAATTCTGGGGCTGCACTACCTGAGTTCTTTCCAATTCATTGGATCCCCTAACTGAACCATAGTAATCAGAATTTATGCTGCCTTCCTTTAACTGTGATGCTACAGTAACAGTATTTACTGGTGGATAAGGTAAAGTTACCAGAGCAGAATGTTTTCTTTTGTCTTCCTTGGAATTATTTCTACTTAAGTCTTTCTTGCCATTACATCCCTCTTCAGACAAGATATTTTTGTTATGACTCAGCTGTGTCAACTGGTACGATTCCTTGTCAGTTTCAAAGGGCAATTCTCTACAGTTAGGGTCCTCTCCAATGATGTACCCTTGAGCTTTCCTGGCCCATATGCAAACCACAATGATTATCACAGTCAAAAACACAAATAATCCACAAGCTAGGATGAGCCCTACGATGAACAGTATACTGTTACTATTCTGA